CAGAAATTCATAGAAATCTGTCGTTTCATGCTAAAAGTTCAGTATTTAATATTTCACAAACTTCATTTCAATATTATCTTCCACGCAAATCTGTAAATAATAAATTGAGAATCGATTGCGAAACAAGCACAAAATCTGGAAGCACGTGGATACTTCATGAGACTTCGTAAACCATAAAATCTACGTAATTGAAAAATGCAAAAGGAACGAGGTGAAAGAAGAAAAAACAGAGCAACGTTGAACCAAAACCAAGGTCTCTCTCATATCGAAACAGTCAGAAATCATCACGGTTTGAATATATTCAACGCGTAGCAAATCTATGATAAAAATATGAAAATCTCATTATCGACTTTCATTAAAAATAATTCCTTTTTGCATCAAAATTTAATTATCACGAAATTAATGGTAACCTATTAACTTGCCAACTAAATAAATTCAATTCTTTTAATAATTTATAGATTTAAATATCAATATCTTAAATACATAATTTTGAAAGAACAAATTATATAATAATTATTAACTTATATTATATAATATAATAAAAATTTTAAAATTATATTCAATGTATATTGCATATTAAATTTTGATTTTAAATGAATTATTAATATTAATAACATAAATAAAATACAATTATGATTAAATTAAATTGACATTTCATATATAATTTATTTGTATTAAATATATATATAATAAAATTCTATATAATTTAATGAAAATTAAATAGGGGAATTAAAATTAACAATGATGAATTAAAATGCCAGCAGTAGCGAGATTTTATTACAATAAAAATAACTGTTCTTTCAAAATTATCCAAAATTGACAGGATGCTCGAAACTTTTGGACGATACTATAAATCTAGAGAAAGGTTCAAAAAGTTATTTTGATAAAGAAACAATTCCATCGGCACCATTCTACGGATTATCAAATTCTGAACAGACGCACGATAGTAGAAGTAAACCAGAGAGTAGTCGAGAAAGTGCGCTGAATTATGACGAAATTACTTCGATTAAATACAGTATGATGCACTCTGCAGAAACGACACGCTAAAGTCTAAGTTGGGAAAAGAAAAGAGAAAGAAGAAAACGACATTCCACGTGTACCTAACCTAATATTCGAGGCTGGCAACGATAGCGCGAGCGAAATAAGAGCGCAACGATTATTACTCAATTTTTCACCTATTCGCGCGCTCGTCGGTCTAGGTATATTACTCAACGACCTCCTTCAGGGAAAGTTCCGATTTGCTCCAGTCTCTCGTTCTCTCTCTCTCTCTCTCTCTCTCTCTCTCTCTCCCGCTCTCTTTTTCTCTGTCTCTCATTCCCCGGTCAAAAGAAATTGTTCAACCAAAGCCGCCGTATGCGTTACGATTGCAATACGCAAGGCCGAACGGATCGACTTCCGATTTCGAAATCACCACCGCTCTGGTATCTAGAATACGCCGGTTTCTAGCGTTCAGCTATTCGTGTCAATGAATTCTGCAAATTTTAACCCCGCGACAGTCGCCACCGTGAGCGCGATAGTTATGTAACCGCTGACAGTTTCCGTGTAACGTGGCTCGATCGAGACCTCGAAACTGTCCCTCGCTCCAATTTACATCGAGGAGCGAAACCGCTCGCGCAAAAATTTCTGATAACGACGAAATCGTTTGGAATGAAAATTCCGAATTCACCCAACTGGGGTAAATTTCAAAGTGATTGACAGTGTAAAAGAGAGAAACCGAAAACTGAAATATTGACGACGACTACGCGAGACACTTAAGGGGTTAGGACAGCGTGAAATTTTCAATAGATCGATTTCTTTTTTTTTTTTTTTTTTTCTTTTGTTTTAAATAGTAGTTTGAAGTCTTAGAAATAAGATACAAAAGGTCCTAGCCTTTAANATACAGAATAATTGAATTTGTATCACTGTTTACAACTTTAAGCAGTATTATAAAGTGTAAATCGTGTGATTCAAATGTTACTTTTGGCGAATCGAATATTAGGCGACTTGGATTCAATTTATTTGTCAATTGTAAGAACTGTAAGCTTCGATATATAAGTAAAAAAAGTAAGTAAAGGATACATATGAAAAATGACGTTCTGAAACTTTAAACGCGTTTTCTTCGAAACTAGATTTTTAGAAACGGTGTGCAAGATATCTCGGAATCTAATCAGCCGATTACTGTGAAACTTAGTGCGTATCTTTAGTGTGACATTTACTAAGGATTGACGATCGAACATTTTTTAATTTTTGACAATTTCGAAAAATACAAGCAAAAAACGTAGAAATTTTTGGCATAAATTCGATACATCGAAAGCAAATAGCTGCTATTTTCATAATTTTTACAATAATGAAAATGTTGGATCGTCAATCCCTAGAGAATATCGTTTACTTTTGAAATTTTTTTGCCTTTTTGTTGCAACCAATCCTATTTAGCTGGAATCATGCACACCGATAGGCAATGTAAAAAAAAAAGGTATGTAAAAGAATGCAGTTAAAAATTTAAATAAAAGCCCTCTTTTTTTCTCTTTTAATATTGCATTTTACAGTTCACAATGTGTTGAAATAAACCACAAAAGCTCATGTCAATCAAATATGTAGTTTGTTTTTTACCAACCCTCCAAAGTATACGTAATTTTTAGGCTCGTCACACTGTCCTGCCCCCTCAACACAGTTATTCTTTATTAATTAGTAAAGAAGTAAACCGGAAATCCATCCAGGATTTAAATGGGAAGATACGCCAAAGATAGTATTTTAAAAAATACTTTCGCCAGAGAATTCTAAATACAACAAAGAACAATTTTATAGAAGAGAATTTGTTCCCTCGGTGCTTCGTGATTTTTCGAAACAGAGTGTTACGTGCTCGAGACAATTTCCAGGCCGGAAAGACCATAATCGCGTAATACAACGATCGATTCTAGGAAAAATATTTGGTCATTTTTCTCCCAGGTGGATATTACAAACAGTTCCAAGGAAACGATGTAATAAACCCGACGCTGGAGATATCATTTTCTACACCCTGCTATTTTATCTTGAGAAAAAAAAAAAGGAAAAACCTTGATTGTGAACGATAGCTACGTTCGAAATCTTTAGAAATCAGTGAAGTTGTGACGAGGACACACGCGATTCGAAACGTCAGCGCACGCAATAAATCTATTCTGTTCATGGTCTTTTCCGTTATCTCTTCGAAAATACAGCCAAATGAAAAGACAGAGCAAGAGAAAAAAAAGATACTAACAATGACAGCCAAATAAAAATTGTTAAATGACGCTGCACGTTCTCTCAATGTATTGGAACGTCTATCCAATTTCAAATCCGCTGAGAGTTGCGCTTGATGTTAATGTTATTAATCTAGTGAGAACTACAGCTGAACTAATACGACTGAATTAAAAATAATGATAGCAGCACGTTCGTGTAACCTTGTTTATGTCCTCGATGTATTTCTTGATAAACGATCAACATTATCAATTCTTTCAGTGCGATATTAGTTAACAGTTTGGACACACCAAAGTAATCGGCTGCGTTATCATTTATAATTCATTCCGTTTGGAATACAAGTATCGTAATTGAAGAGCACTGAACCTGATGCAGTAATTGGGTCAGGTTCAAAAATTTGTCTCTCTGTCTGTTGTCAATGATAAGAATAATAACAATAATATTAATGTCGACGATAATAACGGGAAAGTGAAATATATAGTTTCTTCCTAACCATAAAATAATAATAATAATTAATGAAATTCAAATAAAATAAAATATACAGGTTTTTCCCTAATAATATAAAAGATACAACTAATTATTATACCATCTTCAAAATCCACACATTACCTAAATTATAAAAAATTATAATCTTATAATTTATATCTACTTTTATAAATTCAAATAAAATAAAATATACAGGTTTTCCCTTAATAATATAAAAGATACAACTAATTATTATACCATCTTCAAAATCCACTAAATTACCTAAATTATAAAAAATTACAATTTTATAATTTATAAATTATAAAAAATTATCTAAATATACTACTCAAAATATACGAATATTATTTTCTATAGTTCCACCGCTGTAATGATAAAAACGTAAGTGTACGTCATTTTTAAAAATTTTTGAATCATCCTCTATTTCTAAATAGGATTTATCTAATCAGTCATAAATATCAGCTTCTCTTTTTTCGTCTTTTTTTCGGCGTAAAATCCCACGACAGCCTAGACCACGTATCACTGTCCTGCGAGATAAAAATTTAGAAATTATCGAAGGGAAGAGAGAGCGATTAAACGCGTTGTAAACGTCACGAGGATTTAATCTCGTCATTGAACGAAAACTCAATGGAAGAATTATCTGCGGTTGGACCGCACATTAACAACTCGCCAGAGAACTTAATGGTCAACCGATGATAAGCTTTATCATTTATCATTTATCAAGTAACACTAGGTTACAAAACTTACAAAAGTTTCCTCTCTTTCTCTCGAAACTTGAAATCTCTCTCTTAAATGGGAATTTAACGATAAAACAAAAATGTGATTTCGGCAAACGTTGATTTCCGACGAGATTAGATTTAAATCGCCGAGAGTGTATTGATTTAACCTAATGGAAAACAAATAAACGGAATCAAACCTTGATGTAGATAATTACAAATTGACTCACACTGCGCCCCGTTTCTTTTCTTTAAAAAAAAAATTGTGAAATTACAGATATCTTTTGCAGAAACAGATTCGAAATGTTAATTACACGATTTTATTAAATAATACTAAAGTACGTATAAAGTAATAATACTAAATAATAAATAAATAAAAATTACCAGTTTATAAGTACGTAGAAAAATTAATTGTTCGTCTACTTTTCGATCATTCCACAGAAATTAAAAGATCTACCTCTTCGTTCAGAAAAGAAAGGCCATAAGACACACAAAACACACAACCGAATCAACTAATCGCAAAACTGTGTTTGAGATTTGAAAGAGTGTTGCTCCGAATAATAAAATTCTGAAACACTATATATTAAATAATAAAATCGATCAACTTACCATGTCACATCGAAGCCATAACAGAATGCAGTTCTGATATCTCAAAGGACCACCCAATCCGGAACCACCGGCTATTCTTTGAGCTTTCAACAGTTCCGAGTGTTTTATGCCGTATTGCTCGAACACTTCCAGGGATCTATAAAAAATATATAAAAAAAAAATAATAATAAACGTTACTTGGATCGACATCTCTCCTACTCTCCTTTTTTTTTTAATTCTCGACATTTGCTTCCATTACAGAACCATTGCCAAGAGTCTTCAAGAGTAAATTAGTTAAAATGGTTTGGACAAGAAAAGACATTGAATATCATCATTGAACTTTTGGTTCAGAATTCCAAGATTCTATGGAATAATTTCCGCGAGTAAATCGCTGTAAAAACAGATTGTGTGAATTCATATTTTTTTGCGAAAATAATTTAAAAGGTAGAATTCACCTGTTAAATATTATAACAAGCAGTGTACTCTGGATTTTTATACTGCGCGCATTTTATGCATTTTTACATTTTTAACATTAGAACATGAAGAGCAGTTCTAGAAATTTGAATGATTCTCAATCGTAAATTTTCCATAAACGGGTAAAAATCCATAGTTTGACTGTTCGATCTTCAAATCCAATCGAACACACGTGCAACAAACAAAAGTTTCCACGATTGTAAAAAAAAAGTGCTCGTAAGATCATAATTTAAAATATATGTATATATTTTAAAAATATATTATATATATAATAATAAATAATAATAATATAATTAAAATAAAATAATAAATAAAATAAATTATATAAATTAAATAATATAATAATAAATATATATATATTATATATTAAATTATATAAATTAAATAATAATATAATAATAAATATATATATATTACATATTAAATTATATAAATTAAATAAGAATATAATAATAAATATATATATTATATATTAAATTATATAAATATTATTATTAAATAAATAATAATATATTGTATTAAATTAATTAAATATATATATTTAATATATATTATATATTAAATTATAATAATGTATATTTAAAATATATAATAATAATATATATATGTATACGCTCCTGATATCTTTGGATCTTTAAATTAAGATTATAACCTACAAAAATCGGTTTAATTCTCACAATTAAGTTCCAGTTGCTAAAACTAGCGCAATATGGATTTATAAATATATAAATTTCGTCTACCTTAGATGAAATACCGGCAGACTATCCACAACGATAAAAAAAAAACAACCTATTTGAAAGGAAACGGCTCTGCTAGCTACGAACACCCTTGCATCCTGTAATTATTTATTTATTTACGTTAGTGATACAAGCGAAACGTATCGCAGTATAGTTACAACAAGTCGCACTTAGACTGGTCGCATATCTATCGCAGCGTAACGCGAAATAGTGAGTCTAATACGCACCCACCATTGTGGAACAACGCTGTAGAGATAATAATGGAAGAATCCGAAGGACATTAGCCCCCGTAGTTCCGCAAATCAATTCACTTTTTTCGCTAGACTCGAATTTGTAAAATTACACTTCAAGTTCGTTGCTCGAAGAGTTCTTTGACTCCGAAAAATTCTTTCCTGTATTTCGAAAATGTCTCGTGACACATTATACCACTACCTCGAGACTGACACGATGTTTCATAGTGTTTATTTTTATTTTAAGCTAGGCAACACTCGTAAAGCTTCGATTATGTTTCCAACACACGTGTACATCATTGGTGATTTGTTACAACGTTACAAAATATACATACGCACGTATATATACGACCTACATGATTCATACGTGCATACATTTTAACGCTACAACGCCAGACTTTCTTATAAATAACATATTTTATTTAAAGGAACAGAAAAAGAAGAAGAAGAAGAAGAAGAAAAACGAAGTAACAAAAAAGTAAGATACTGTCGTAGAAAATCAACTAACTAATTAGTTAACGATAAAGAAATAAATTGTATCAGAAAGAGAAACTAGATCTACCAATTAAAATTATTAAATTATTAAATCACGAAATAAATTGTATCTAATTTGTATTTAATTAAAATTATTAAATCACGAAATAAATTGTATCTAAATCTCTACTAAACAATTGGGGAATCACTAATTTTCTGCATCAAATAAATTTTTTGGTAAACTCGTTTTTCTTAGTACGTGTATCACTCTCTTCGGCAAGCGAACGATCGTGGTTCAATTATGCGCACATTTATTATACAACGAACCGAATGCTCGACGAAATCCGATCGGTTGCAGGAATCCGCCTTCGACGGAGAAACGAACACGTCGCTCGGAATTTTTCGAAAGTGTTCTCCCCATGATTTTTGCTGTCCGCGATTATCCCTATCGAAACATACTGATCGCGAGACGCATGCAAATATCTGCGTCACACTTCGAAATATCTGTATTTCGCGACTGAAAAACAATAAACATACGTATATATGAGTACCCAGACAGTGGAGAGCCAATAACGATCGAAAATATCACTCGAACAGTTTATTTAAAATTTTATTCAAACACGTTGAATTTTATTCGAAACCATTGAATCGATTTATAACAATCTACGTATGTGTGCAAACATTTAACCATAATACAATAATGGAAACATGAAATCAAAGATAAAAGATTCAGTTTTTTATTTATCTTGTAAAATATCACTTTATATCGCACTATAATATCAAATATCGTTATTATGATACATGCATATATTCTCGCAGAGAAATTTGGAGCACCATATTTATTTGAGATGAAATCAATTTTATAAAGGATACCAATATCGTGAATATAGGCCTCGTTTCTGAATATAACAATTATATACTTAGTCTCAACACCTCAGAATATTAATATCGCCAATAAAATGTTAAATTAACGTTGCAATAAAATATTAACAAATGAAATATTTTCCTAAGAAAGTCATTATTTCTATTCGTATAAAATGAAAATTTTACTTTGTCCACTTGTGTTATGTTAACAAATATTTTCGTTATATTTCAAGCAGAAAGTAAAACTATTGCTGTTATTGGGAATTTTATAAGATACTAATGTCACAAAATTTAAAAACTCTATTAGAAAAGTCTCCTCAATGATCAAAGAACGTAAAGTTCTTTTGTTACGTGGCATTACATTATAATTAAAAAATTCTTGACACCTAAGCAATCTAACTAACTTGGAATTAAAAATATTGATTCACTTGAGCCGAGTTCGTGCCAATATGTAAACTAATTACACACGAGACATTCGTTCATTTTACCAACATTGATATCCTGCTGAATATTGATTCGAAGTTGCACAACAACACTTCGAAAGTAAAAAAATTGCTAAACGAACAAAGCTTTCTGCATAAATATATTATACATTCAAGCACTTTCATATACGTATTTTGTAGCAAAAATGAATCTTGTCAATGCTTGTTTTTTTTTAAAGCATTACATATCCTTGCTTGCATCTTCAACTGGCGTTTTTCTTTTAGCATCTGACAATTCCGTTAAAAGATATTCCGTTTGTGATCGAAGTGCATCGATTTGCTTTTCAAATGAAAAATCATTGCTCAACTCTTCCCAACAGATTACCTTATCGCATAAATACACGCGATTAGAATTTTAATCGTTTGACAATTACACATGTCCACTATATTTATAGCAGTCAATCAAAGATTATTTCCATCTTTTTCACAGTCCAAACTTCAATTTCCAAAACGTCGGATTCACAATGAGATATCTGAGGACACCACAATCACACTATTTTGTTTCAAACTTTTCATTATCTACTTCGTAGTAAAATATTCTCAACGTCGCTTCGAGAAACATCTAAGAAACTCACTTGCTTTTCAAAGCTATTCTGCATGTCTCAACGTATAAACAATACGATAATTAATTCAATGCAAACTACGAGACGATCAGTGGGTCAAAGCCAAGTCGCACTCAAGATCGGCACGATATCACGTGGATAGTCAGAAATTTGTGAAACAAATCTCGCGTGATTCGTGATCGACGAATTACGCACACGACCGAGATGTAAAAATCTGATGGAGGAAAAGTAATAATAGCTAAAGATAAATATTTCTTAATTTAATTAAGAATTTTGACACGAAGAAGAAAAGGGAAAATTTTGTATTGAAGTATTCTAAAATTTCTCTTCTTTCTATTCTCTATAATACGCACAAATGTGTGATACTAGTTTTCTAATAATAAGTTATCGATCATTTATCGAGGCAATTGAAATTACCTTGAACACGCTAGTTTATGATCTATGGCTCATAAAAGATATTTATTTCTATCATTTACGCATTACTTTTCAATGAAACGTTCCTTCGTTTATTTCATCTTCACGGTATTAAGCTATTTCACGAAACTAGCAAGCAATTACGCGAAATTTAATACACCTGGACCTAGTTAAATAGTCCGGTGATTAATTAGAAAATTAAAGATGCAAAAATACAAGTAGAAGGAAATAGGAATAAGTGGAGGAAAGAATATTTTTATTTACTAACTCTCTGCAGTAGAGTGCAATCTCTATTGGAAGATTAATTAATATTTAATAATGTCTTTCAAATGTCCAAAAAAAAAAAAAAAGAGATGCACGTTTCAATCTTAAAATCATTGACTCTGACCGAATTTGGCTGACAGCAATACTGAACTGAATGATTATTTTGAAACGCTTGAAACTCGTAGTCTTGTCTTTCATCTGTATTCCGCAGTATCAATGACACAGCGCAGTAATCCATTTTCCCTTTTTCTTTCGTTAGGTTTTGCTCGAAACGCGAGTTCCCTGCGCAACGAATTATTGCACAATCCCGCGAGAGACAGTGCAATCGAGAAGAATTAGAAAAAAAAGGCGAGTGCCAGGGAGAGAAGAGAACGGAAAAGCGCGCTTTCTCCTCGCGCAGAGACAAGTTAATCCAACAGCACCCCGAGCATTATGTCACTCCCACGACTGGCGGATTTGCTGGCGGACAAATGGATCGAACTGGCCGGATTGGTCGTCGTTTCTTGCCGATCGCGCCGGTTTCGTGCGAACGAAAGCAACTGGGAAACTGGCTCGATAGACGATAACCTTCGATTAGTCGAAGATCGTTCGTTATGAACGAAAATAAAATGACGGTGCCGGGCAGTGTTTTGCGGATCTGTTGAGATCGAATCGA